AAAATTCTGTAAATATTGAGTGTTATATTCAGATACAAAGATAAATAAAGTGACGAAATAAAAAAATATTTAATTTTTTTTTTATACACAATATAATTTTAAAATAAATATAATATTGTAATAATATTTATTATTTTCAATATACATTATCATATTTCAAAAATGAAATAAAATATTTTTTACAAACAGAAGGAACCTAATTTATTATTTAATAATTAAGAACTTCTACTACAATTTATTATTCCTTTGATTAAATTTGGAATTATTTAATTTAATTTTATAGACTTTTATTTTAAAGTATACATAATAATAATAATAATAATAATAAGTGAAGAAAGGGTGATATTGCATAAATGCCCCTGAAAATATCAAGAGCAGTGCATGAATGATATTACACGAAAAGCAAGGGTACGTAAGCAAATAAAATAGTAGGGACCCACGTGTCGTAATCCTAGTGCTGTCGGCAAAGAGGGAACGAACTTTCTTTCTCGCTCACCAATAATATGTTTCTCTCCTTAAATTAAAATAATCATTACTACATTTGTGACGTGTAAATTAAATTTCAAGTCACAAATTTTGCACACTTCAAATTTATATCTCAACATTCAATAATAAATTTAAATAAAATTATTTTGCATTTCAAAGAAAGTAACAATATTTTAAATTGTTATAAGAAAATATTACCTGGTTTTTTAAATTATTTTAATATATTTAATTCAAATTTATTTTTATTTTTTAGTATAAAAAATATCATTTTTTTTCCTCTTAATATAGAAAGAAACTTTTTTTAATTTTATTTATTTTTTTTAAAAATTCATACCTGATCAAATTGATATAATTTTATATAATAAAAATGGTAGTGTTATTACATTCTTTTCTAAGAAAAAGAATACATTTTTTTTTATATAATTTTATTATGAAAAATAATAATAATTATCCATAGTTATTAAAAACGGTATACAAACATTTGAGATATATAAAAGAATACATTAATTTATTATTTTTTTTTATAATTTTATTATAAAATAATAATACTCTCTCCATTCCGAAATTAAATATTCATTTGCTTTTTGCACGTAGTTTTATAAATATAAGTATTATATTGAGATATAGTAGGAATAAAGTATAAATAATTAAAATAACCTTATTAGTATGTGTGATATAAATGTAATGACATTTGTGTAATATATTGTAAGTTGTAAGGGTATTTATAATGTTAGATAGATAGTACAATTATTAAAAAAAATAATGAATACTTTGTTATGAGACGGACTAAAATAGAAAAATAAATATTTTATAAGGAACCGCTGGATTAATAATTATCCATAATTATTAAAATTGGTATACAAACATTTGAGATATGTATTGTGTATGTATATACATACATACAAGACATACGGTCGTCGGAGCGTGGGAAAGGCAAGTGGGATGTACGAATAGTCACTTATAAAGAACCGTGGATCTGAACACCGGACGTATCTAAGTCGTTTATTTTACGAGATCGAGAAACTCAACGATGTAGATTCATCTAATGAATAGAACTCCTGGAGCTGATAAGTTTGACTTAGGTTTGCGTGTGAATAAATGTGTTGATTTGTCTGGGGGACCGTGGCGCTGTGCACCCTCCATGACACGTCGCTATCATATTATTATTATTATTATTATTACTTTAAGGACAAATAGAGGTTTATTTATCTAATTACTTTTATTGAAACAATTCACAATAAATATAATTGAAATAGGTTTTTTTGAGTTTTTTTAATAGATTTAAAAATAAAAATATTTTATTAATAAGTGGAAGTGTATAAAAAATTTTGATATTTTTATAACTTTGTGAATAAAATAATTCTATGATTATAATTAAAATAAAAATTAGAAGGTATTTTAATATATAATGTATAATTATTTTTTTTAAAATAAATCTAAATATTTTGAATAAGACAAATAAAAATAGTAAAAAAAAATAATTTAAAATATTTTTTTCCTTCAAGTTGGTAAATTTACATTTATTTTTTATACGAAACTTAATATATACTTCTTCTATCCAATGCAAATATATTTATTTATTTTTTATAGGTAGATTTAATATATTCCCTCCGTTTTATTGAAAGTTTGTCATTTTTTATTTAGTCCGTCCCAAAACAAGGTTACTATTTCTTAATTTAGTAATTGTATTACGTACTTAACATAATAAATACATTTTCAACTTACATTATATTACACAAATGTCATTACTTTTATATTACACAATAATAATAGGGGTATTTTCGTCTTTTTCACTATAATCTATTATAATACTAATATTAAAAAATTTACGTGTAAAAAGTAAACGACAACCTTACACTGGGACAGTGGAAGTATTAATATTTTATAAATAATGGCACAATCAAATTAAAAAAGAAAAAAAAGAAAAAAGACAATTTTGTTTTCAAACTTATTTAGTTTTTAATAGTTTTATTTGCAATATTAAATTAAAATAAAAAATAACCAAATGTTTATTCTTATTGTATATTAATTAAATAGAGAAGATCAATTGAAATATGTTCTATCTTTACATATTGTTTTTAATTTAAGAATAAAATGTAATATAATAATAACTATATTAATATATATTTGAATTCATCTTTCTTTTGAGAAAAAATATTGAGTATATATAATTCTATATGTATATATATATATATAACATTTGGTGTGTGATATGTGTTTTGTAAGATTAGGATATATTTGCTTCGTATTTTATTTTATTTTAGTTTGGTTTAGCTATATTTATATTTTATATTTTTATAAAAAAAAATTATTTTTTAAAAAATTTATTTGAGTTAAAAATCAAACAATTATCTTAATTTTGATTGTTTTATATGTAAAATAATGATTGTATGCAAAAAAAAAAAAAAAACTTATATTTTGTCACAATCCACTCCTACACTATCAGATCTCCCTATAATTTTTATGCTTATAAAAGATGTTTTTGTTTGTATCTAATTTTATTATTTTTTGTAATGCTACATCTGTCCGACTTTAAGGGTTATATTTATAATATAATACAAATAAAAAAATGAGCAAAAAAAAAAAAACTTTTATTAATATCTTATAATACTGATATATCAAAAAAATATAAATATAACCTTTAAAGGTGGACATAGAAAATATTATATTTGATGATAAAAATAATACTATCAAATGTTTTGAATTGCATGAAAAAAATAAAAAATAAAATAAATCAATATAATATAGCCAAACTTACCACGTTAATTAACATTCAAAATATTAAACCATTGAAGTCAGCAAATTGTATAATTGTAACTAATATGTTGTTGTTTTTAATAATCACTTCGTCTAACTACAAAATATACATATTTTTATTTTGGAACGTCCAATTAAAAAATAACTATTTCATTAAATATCCAAAACTTCTTCACAAATACCGTTACTTTACACCACATCATTACTTTTATACCAAAAAAATAAAGACAAAAATGTCATTATATTATTTTTATCTACTAATTATAATTAAAATATTATTATTTCTTAAACTTCGTGTCAAAAATAAATATATACTTGTTATTTGAACGGATGAAGTATAAATTAATTTAATTTAAAACAATAAATTGATAATATAATAACAATATATACCATGTGTTATATAGTATATACATTATGTTCTACAATATAAAATAACTTGTGAATAATAATTCAATAAAGTATTTTTTTTATCCAGTACAATGAAAATATGTTAAAAATACCTCCGTGAAAGATGATGATGTGGAGGTTGGAAGATAATACTTCCTTCGTCCCATATCTATATATTTATTTGCTTTTTTATGGAGTTTTAAAAATATTAGTATTATATTGAGATAAAGTATAAATAAAGGTAAAAAGATAAAATTAACCCAATTAATATTGTATGATATAAAAATAATAATATTTGTGTAATATATTGTAAATTAAAAGGGTATTTGTAATGTTCGGTAAATAGTACAATTACGAAAAAAAATAAAAAATAAATACTTTGTTATAAGACGAACCAAAATAAAAAAATAGATAGATTGTTAAGGGACCAAGAGAATATAATTTTATTTATATCTTTGTATACATATTTTAAAAAAAAAATATTTATTAGTTTCTCATAAAAATATAATATTAAGGAATAGTGAATCAAAAGGCAAATAATAAATATGTATATTATTGTATTTAGGCCAAAAAAATATGTGTAAAACAAATAGTTTGAACTCATCATCTCACACAACTTATACATTTTATATATAATAATTAATAATGTTGCAAAATAAATATTTAAATATGCTGGGTTATGATTTTAAATATATATAACAAAATTGTATTATTTATCTATAAAATATTATATTAAAATATTATTTAAAATAAAATTAAGATTAAAAAATACTATCTTGTGTATTTTTATAAATCAACTCCAATGTTCAATTTTTATTTTCATCCGTCTTGTTTATTTTGTCATTTTTATTTTTTAAATTATACATTTTAATTTTATTTTAATTTTAAATTTTTTTTATTTTAATTAGACTAATTAATTATTTTAATTTTAATCTATAATTTTTTTTTTAAATTTTACGATAATATTTTTTTAATATATTTTTAATTAATTACTAATTATACTAGTAAATTTCAGAGAAAATATTATTTTTATATTTACTATTAAAAAAATCAATTTAATATCAAAGATTGATTTGTGATATAGGAAGTATTATATATATCCTAATGAGGTAAATCAAATGGTACTGATTTGTCCTAATTATAAGTAACCCTACACTATAATACATACTTACACATATAAATATATTTGACTTCAAATACACTCACCTTAAATACATATAGAGTTATATACAAATTAATATCCATATACATACATACAAACGTATATATATATATATATAGAGAGAGAGAGAGAGAGAGAGAGTACATTCTATTGGGATGTATATATAGAAGTGTAGTTGCAGAAATGCAAATGTAAATGCAATCCTGTCACAGCCCTTTCAGACAGCATACATCCTTTCCACTGTTTCCCCATCCCCTCTCTCTCTCTATCCTTTCTCTCTCATCCCATCTCATCTCGCTCCACAATTATTAGTATTTCTATTGTTTTTCATTTGAGAAACATCATCAAACTTCACTAAAGAAGCATCCCTCTGGTCTTTCCCCCTTCGCTTTCCACACTCTGCTCACCCTCAACTTAGCACACCACACAACTCATATAGAGATAGAGAGAGAAAGAAACAAAATGGGAGCAGTAGCAGTACTACCTGTGATACTTTCTCTCTCTCCAACCATCCAACTCCTCTTCTTCTTCCTCCTCCAAGCTGCTTCTTCTTCTGTCCCCAAATGCTGCAGCAGCACTGCACCCCATTTGTCTCACTAGTCACCTCTGCCCTTCTTCTCTCACTCCTGCTCTCTACTGCTCCTGCTCCTTTATGGATTTTGGGGCTGTTCCTTTTGATTCTCTGCTCACTCCCAACACCATCAACACTGCCCCTGCCATAGACATTAATAATAATGGTAAACTCAGGTGGGGGGTGGGGGGTGGTGGATCAGGATCTGGATCTGGTGGGTTCTTGAAGCTGGAGGGGGAGACCCCAATAAATGAAGAAGAAGAAGAGGAAGAAGAAGAGGAAGAAAAAGATCATCAGTTTAAAATAGCCAAAACTTGCTCCAATTCTTCATCCTTTGGCACCATTAGAGGTGCTGCTGCTCCTGCAAGATTTAATGTTAATGGCAATGGCAATGGCACTGATTCCTACCACTACAATCACCATATGCTCAGCTTCTCCTCCCCCAACTCACATACTCTCACATTCCCCTACTACAGAAACAATGGTTAGTCCTCTTCTCCTTCTGCACCATTAAATAAATGTACCCTCTGTGTGTGTGTGTTTATGGTGATGGGGGGGGGGGGGGGGGGGGGTTTACAGAGATTAGTTAAAACCTGCTGATGCTGTTGTTGTTATGAGGTCTTTTCATGACAACCTGTGCAGCAGGCAGGCAGGGGGAGGGGGGGGGGGGGTTTGTTATCCATTACACACCCACACCCTTCTTGTTCTTTTCTACTGTTCTCTGGTTTTTATGGCATAACCAAATATATACACAAGAAAGACTCTTTTTTGAACAAATATAGATATAGGGTTTCAACAGTAACAGTGGATTGATTAATTTTAAAGCATAAAGTACATACCTTGGGGTTTATTTGAGTGGTGTTTTAAAATTATTTACCAGGTAGGGATGTTGCTGTTTCAGGGTATGGCTCTACAGGGAAGAATGGCGGAAATATGGTGTCAGTATTCAGAGGGCCTTTCACTCCATCGCAGTGGATGGAGTTGGAGCATCAAGCTTTGATCTATAAATACATCACTGCAAATGTTCCCATACCTAATCATCTCCTCAATCCCATCAGAAAAGCTTTCGAATCGGCAGCTGCAGGTTTCCCTCCCTTTGCAGCTCTCAGATCCAATGCCTGTAAGTGTCACTCATCATCATCATCAGATAATCAATTTAGAAACTGGAATGATTCGATCTGAGTTTTAATAACATTATGTATGTATTACCTCTTTTGTGCAGTGGGATGGGGTGCTTTCCATCTGGGATTTGCCAGCACTGATCCGGAGCCGGGGCGGTGCCGCCGGACGGACGGCAAGAAATGGCGGTGCTCGAGGGATGCGGTAGCCGATCAGAAGTATTGTGAGCGGCACATGAACAGAGGCCGCCACCGTTCAAGAAAGCCTGTGGAAGGCCAACCTGGCCATTCCGCCACCGGAAGCACCACCACCACCACAAACACTGCCACCGCCGCTAACACTAGCAAGCTGACTCCGATGGCGGCAGCCGGTGGTGTGTCCAACAGTCTTGGCCGTAACCATCAGCTCACTAACCTGCAGCCTGGGATCAACAGGTGAATTTAGTACTGCTCTGCCATTGAAATGTGTAGTAAATGATATAAATGTTAGCCTCACCTTTGATTATTGTCTGCCTTTGTAGGAGTCTTCCGAACGGCGGCGAAAACTCAGATGGGGCGACGACTGCGTATCAGCACGAGACAGTCCTGCTGATGATGTCTCCAAAAAGTGGCAGTCTTATGAAGGATAACAACAATGCATACCAAGATTCATTGCGGCCCGAATTTGGATTAGTTTGCTCGGATTCGTTGCTCAACCCCTTGAATAAGAGCTCATCTCTGGTCCACAACGATAACAAGAGCCACCATAATTCACTCCGGGAGTTCATGAATCCGCAACCCGACAGAACTCAGCTATCGATTTCCATTCCCATGGCGACGACCAACTACCTGTCGAATGAAAAACTCACAGCCTCTCCACTCAGGCTATCCCATGAGCTCGAAATGGGATTAGGTGTGGGCTCGACAGTGGCTGCCAATGGCCACCACCGGCAGTCAACTGATTGGGTTCCGATTTCTTGGGAGCCGTCAATGGGAGGACCCCTTGGGGAGGCTCTACACACCACCACAGGCGAATGTCGGAACACTAAGCCTCTCAACCTCATCGATGGCTGGGATAATAGTCCTCGGATTGCCTCGCCATCCCCGACTGGGGTCCTCCAGAGGGGCACATTTGGCTCACTATCCAACAGCAGCGCCGGCAGCAGCCCAAGCCGGCCGACACTCGAAGGGGCCAGTCTTTGCAATGGCCTGCTGAATCCATACTTGCCTGCAATCTAAATCCCAGAAAACCATATCATTATGATCATCTAAAAATCCAATGCTAGCTGTAATTTGTTAATTTCTTTCAAACACTTTCTTTATCACTGTGTCTGTCTGTCTATTTGTCTCATTGTTAGGAAGTTCAGTGTTGTTGGTTCAGTAGGTGAGATTTCAGAAGACTCACATTCATGGCTATCTCTATCGATCTATCTATATAAATATAATATCTGATCTGGTATGAACTTGAATCGCATCATCTTGTACACTGTAGTTTGGTAGATTGGTTCTATCATCATTTCTGCTCAAGGTTGGTTGGAGGGAAGCATGCTGGTGGGTGGGAGGATGGGTGGGGAGGGGGGATTTGGGGGTGTACGGACAGTGGTGGGGTACAGACTTATTACAAACTCTCTTATCATCCTACTCATAAATAGCTGTAATAATTGGGAGTTCTTGGCTTTTCTGTAAAGGGAAAATGCATCATCATAATCATCTACTGATAAAATCTGTGAATGAGTGTGTGATAGGAAAGAAGAATCAAGTTGATTCAAGATGGGAGGCCATGGCCATGGCCATGGCCATGTGGTTGTCACTGTCTGTTAGGACCAGTGAGATCTTATTCGAAATTTTGAGAAATCTTTCTTTTAATAGCTCCAGTCTTTTATCACACACAAGGTAAGGCAAGGATGACTTCACCCACAATTAGGACACCCTTCCCCTCCCTTCCCTTCAACCTGAAGATTTCAAATTTTGGGTGGAAATGGAAATGGGGAATCCAATATCTTTAATGGCTAGGCCAAACTTTCAGACTTCTATGCATTACTTCAAATTAGAGCTATTATTTCCATTCAATTAAGTAACCTTATTTTTGAATTTGACTCAAATTTTATTAAGCCTAGGTCAAGTTTACATACTTGTTATTTTCTATGATCGAGGTCAAGCTTGACTATTTATTTTGATTAACAAATGGAGTTTAAGCTAACAACTTACAACTCTAGTCTTTAAGCCTACAAGATTGACTTTTATTGTGATTAAGAAGTTGAATTTAACCCTTACAACTTATAAGCCTCGCATTCATGGTGATGACCTAATTATATACAATATATTATGTCTAATATACTGAATTTTTATTCAGAATAGTTCAAGTTTAAAAATACCTTAAAATGTATTAGAACACACCCTGTGTAACTGAGGCACCTCTTTTAACATATAATTAACTCTCACACATATGAAAATTATTTCGAACTACTGCAACTATTTGAATATAATCAATAACTGAAATCAACACACAAACTCCAGCTAACACTAGCTAAGAATCCCATCTTAAAATCTACAATGAATGATGGAAACAAACACCAAGAATCTACATGATCAATTAATATTCCCCGTACATAAACTTCAATTTGTTTCACTGCCACAATCATTCACTTCCCATTTTATTCCATATCGTCCAAATAAACTTTAATGATACTCAAATTTGATTGGTTGTGTTTTCATACAATATTACCACTGTGCATCTGTAGCGTACTGATACTCCCCCAAAAAATAGAATATCATATATCTATTTATTATATTTTCTATCTAAAATATAGCATTAAATAGATGTTTATACGGCATTTAACAAATGCTTCAATTCAAGAGTTTTACTATTCTCAAACAATGAAAACACAACCAAACAAATCTGTGACCCAATACGACATCTTCGAATGTGGAATGCAAGGAAATTACACAAGAGGAACTGAATAGAAGCACCTAAGACAAAATGTGAAAAAATATAGTGAATAGCAATACCTTCTTTTCTTTTTTCATATGGAAGATGTATGGGTAGTGCCACTAGCAACCCTCACAATACTGATGGATTCCAGTAAATTCTATGAATCAGTTCTTCAAGAGAATTGTTCCTGGTGTTGGATTCTCTTTCACTATGAATGCCTATCTGCATGTAAGGTGGACATCACAAGGTTGGATGAATGCACAAGCACCCATAATGTTCACCAAAATGTAGCGGTTGCACTGAGGAAAAACTGGGGATACCATTACAAAAGTCTTTCCATTTTATCAAATTCAAACGTGATCATTCCTCAATGATTGCATCCGCATTAAAACACTTATCAAGAAATCCATCTAATTTGAGCCTACTTTTGGCCATCAATATTTCAGAAACCTGCTAACATGCTTATAAGATGATAGAAACAATAAACGTGGTAATCAGAATCAGACTACACAGAAATACTGATGTAACTAAAACCTGAGCTCAAATATATGATGTGTAATGGCTGCATCAATGACTAGTTCTGTTATTGAGCTTGCAGCAGAGCCAGCCTCGACAGGTTAGTGACTTTCAATGTTAAAACAATCATTTCAATGGTATAAATGCCAAAAAATGGCTGCAGGAGAATTTCTTCTACCAAATCACAGATCACATTAGTTATGGAACTCAGTCTCAGAGCACATTCATCAAGACCACAATTTCAGTCCTTAACCTGAAATATATTATCCATTGTAACCTAAGCTCATATACAATCATATCAATGCAGCTTACCATCATACAAGTATGAGGTTCGCGTCTCTCGATAGTACATATGGCTATGGTAAAACATCCAACACAATACATAATAAATACCTGTCGATCATAATGTAAGTATGATCAAGCTTACCATAATAGCTGCTTGATATGCCTTCCTGAAATCCTGAAAAGCTTTTCTTGTATAGAACAAAAATATTGCACACAAGATGTAGATTTCATATGGCCCCTAGCCAAATAAACTAACAGATTTCGATTAGGGGAAGATCTTTCTAGAACATGTGAACAAGATTTTTACAGCCATTAACAGACCACATCTACTACATATATCACAACCTTTAGTATTCACATAGCTCCCATCCAAGAACAGCAAAATTGAAGAATTCATTTAAGGAAGTTTCTGAAGTAAATGTTCACACCTCCTCATTTCCATACAGAGAAAAACTGTAGTTTGAGATAAAAATGATAAGAAAAATAGCATAACTACAATTTAACTTTGCAACATTTTTATTTACCAGCAAAAGTTGATTGACCAAAAAATTCAGTCTACCATATCCATCATCAGATTCATCTACTTAGGAGCAGTCAGAAATAAAACTACAGAACAGGCACAAATGGATTTTTTTTAGCTGCTACTCTTCACCCCCACCACCATGTCTCCAAGGATTGAGAGCTTCTCGCATAGCCTGAGCTTCAGGTGTACTCTCCCATGCCCTCTGCTCCGCCTCCAAAACTGTCACTTTGTCATCTGCTCAATATTTCAAACAAAACGTTAATTAGATGTTGCCCAAATTAAACCTCTAAATTCTAAATTCGCACCGCTCTCCCAATCGTGGAGATTGAATGCCAAATGAAATCGATAGTTATTCATTCTTTCTCGAAATTGTCCGAAATTTTGTCGAGAAAACAGCAATTTCGAGTAGAAATCATAAAATAAACTTTAGAATCCGAAAGAAAGTGTAATATTAACATTAAAAAAAATAAAATAAAATGTAAGCTCTAGCACATACGGAAGCCAGATTTGACCATGAAAAGCTCCATGGAAGCTCCGATTAAAGCTGAAAAAATTGATATCTTCAAACACCAGTCCGAAAACCTCATTCTTTTGCCAGATTTGTGCAAGTGAATCGTCTGTTTGTAACGGATAAACAGGGAACGATTTAAGTCGTTTGATCGAAGATTCCAGTCAATAGCAAATTTAACGTAGCATGCAGGAAAGAGCAGAAGTGGAGGAACACAAAATGGCGGCGGCTCAGGGTAGGTGCACGGCGGCAGTGAAGGGTGCGATAGAAGGCCATATATTCTGTGTCCATATGCTGATCATTTCATAATTTTATAAATTTTTAAGAAATGTTTAATTAAATTAATCTAATTGGTTTTATTAATATATATAGTTTTAATTATATTTTATTAATATATAATATCCACCGGCTAACTCCCTAATAATAGCCTTCAAACTTACATATATTACACAAATAACAAAGAACCTTAAGTCGACAAAATACACGTACCTCAGAGAAGAGTGATGAGAATGAAGATGAGAAGCGCAGCAACGATGGAATATTTAAGTGCGGCCACCAGAATCGCCGCCGATATCACAAACAGCTGCCACAGTACCTGCACGCTCGCCCACGTCAGCAGCCCCGTTAACCCGACGGCCACGATGTTATCCGGATCCGGATCCAGAACCAGATCCTTCCATTTCAAATTCCATCTCGGCCCTCCGTTCCTCCCCGCATCTCCGCCGTCCGCCAACCGCCGCCCATCATTTCCGCCGTCGTCGGCGCGGATTCGAAACTGCCTCGGATTCAGAAACTGGAATTTCGGAGAAGGTAGAGTGTATGGGTGGATTCGCAGCGGAGGGAGATGGTTGGACTTGGAGGTCAAAAATGGCGCCGGGGAAAATATGGCTTGAGGAGATGCGAACCCTAACATTGGACTGTTAATTTCAACGGCTCTTTATGGGGTATTTGGGAAAATCTCAAACCAGCGAGAGAGCTAAAATTAGGGCAAATTTGGGGATGAAATGATCCTGTGCGTAAAGAGGTGATGAAAATATAAAGTGCTATAAATTAAATATTACTACTATAAAAAAAAATAACATTTCAAACCACATATAGTTCCAAAATTTAGAAGTAACAATTATATTTTTCTATTTTTATAAATTTATTAAACTATAATTTGCCTTGTCAACGTAGTTTAGAAAATATTATTATGAAATGAAAAAAGTTACTATATTAAAAATTAATTTAACTTCAAAATATCATGTTGAGAGGTATTAAAATATAAAACAAAATCATAATTCTTTTTTGGATAATATAATGAGTCCAGGCCTCCGAATTCAATCCACACATCATTTATAACCTATTTTGAGGTTGTTTTGGATAAGAAAAAATTGAAGTGTTATTTTACAGCTTCATTTTATTTTTTGTTTGACTATGATATATGGTGAAAAAGTCTACCAGAAACAGAGTTTACATAACAAATTTTTACTCAGTATTATTTACTTTTTTTTTTTTAAATTATTACATCAAATATATATATAAATATTATTTTTTCAAAATACTCCAATGTAATGTTTCATATAATATGAGTGTATTACTGTAAATACGAAAATTTAAATAAAATATAATTAATAAATAATTAAAAAATAAATTAGTAAAAATAATTATTATTTTATAAAAATAATTATAGATTAAAATAAATAAATAATTTAATTAAAATTAAAAAAATTATAAAATTTAAAATTCAATTGAAGTGCATAATTATATTTTCAAAAATAAAAAAAACAAATTATGTAAAACGAGTATCTCCTAAATTTATATCATTACTAATTATAATAAAATAATAAAATCAGTATTTAATTATTATTTTTCGTTCAACTCATATTTATGTACCTTACTTCCAACAATAACACTTAACTATCTTATTACTTTATCATTTTTTAATAAAATATTCAATTTTTCTTAATTTTTAATTTTTTAAACTCATTTCTTTAATTTTTAATTTACTTTGCAAGAATTACCCAACTACTTCATTACTTTTATTAATTTTATAATAAAATATTTATTTTTCCCTGAATGTTCTATTTTTAATTTTTATTTTTTCGGACGGATGAGAGTACCAAATTAAAATTTAAAAAATAAACTCCAAAAACTCTTGTCTAAATGGAGGCTAGTTGCTTATTATAATAAACAACGATGAGAAGATCCACAAATTATGATTGTAGATGTGAGCGTAACCTTCATTCCTCGACGATAGTCGAATGCAGGCTTTGAGACAACACCAATATTCAATATTAGGAGTACCTGAATCAGCGTAGCAACATCGTCATATTTTGCTACGTTACTTATTTTTGTAACTCCTTCAAACTCGAAATGTGTAAAGATTGAAGAAATATTAACAGAAATGATATCATCACGATCGACAATAGCACTGAAGGCACGCCATTTCGAAAGCAAGAACAGTCAGTAATTGCAAAGATCAAGAGAATAACTGATGTTTCTATAGAAAAACTCCATACTAAAGCAAAATACGACATAAAAACAGGAAAAAACTGAACAATGAAACCTTCGATCGAACCAAAAAAATAAAAAGGAAGCAATCGCTACAAAATCACAGGAAAATCAATTGAAGAATATGTGAGCTCATATTCTATGGGTGTAGAAAAGGTCTACAAGCTGGGCGACAGCATTCAGAACGAGGAATTATTTTATAATCATCGCTCACCAACACAAACGTCATAAATTGTTAAATTCTAATCGAAGTTTGAGAGATGAACAATCAAGCAGATGTAATTCACTCTCAAAACTTCATCGATTACATCTAAAGCACAAAAAATCATGAACAAGTTCACGATCTAACTTACCCGATGAGCCGAAGAACGCACAGGTGCCTGGGTGCTACAAGCCTCTTATATACAGATGGAAATGGTACGGAGAAACCCTAATGGTAGATTTTGGGCTGATAAAGCCGAGGCCCATTAATGGCCCAAAACGTTGCTATTTGTTAGCGGCCGGCCCAGTCAATTAATGACCCATCGAATTCATTAGCGGTAAACATTTCGGATTTTTGACTCCTGCTAGGGTTCATCTTTCCCAAAATCGATCGAATTTGATTAATCCCGAGTCGATATTCCCCATTTCCCCGCGATCTGCTATACGGTAAAGTTCAATTTTTTCTTTGTGAAATGAGGCTCTTTGAATGAAATGTTTAATTTTTCAAATTCGTATGTCTATTTGGGATTTTACGGGTGGTGGATTTTTCGTTAATAATGAATTGCTTGCATGTTCTTTAATTTGAGTTTTGGTTTGAAACATAGGTGCTTTCCTCACGCCTGAGCTGATTTATTTTCGAATTTTACTGGATATTGCCTTCTGCAGGTCTTGTGGAGTGTTCATTGTATAAGCTGAAGGATTGCAGGCATGGATAGTAACCCTCCGTCTTCGGGTTCACAGGTATTGCTAAACGTATAGTTGATTCTGTGCCGTAGGGCGTTTGATTTATCAAAATTGAAATGTCTAATCATGTCATGTATATGTGCCTGCTCTTGTGCCGTGTGTGTGTGCTATAGAGTTGGGTTTTGTATACAAAGTAAATTTTTTGAATGAGTCATCGTGGTGATTATCTATGAGAAGAAATTTGATGTTGGTGTTAAACAGATAAGTTAGATGACATATCTGATATTGACTGCTTGTTTTGTAATTGAGTATATTCTTAACCATTAATTTGATTATCTTGTTTCTGATTTTTTTGGATATTCTCGAGTATGTTAACAAGATTTATGAAACTAGATACATGTAGAGTTAATGTCTTTTCTGGGTTTCTAATCTTGTTTCGCTTTTGTTTACCTCTTATAGTCGATTTGGTCACATCCTCCACCTGGGTCTATGGCCCCTCAAAGTTTTGCTCCTCCCTATCCTATGCAAGTATGTATCTCTGAACATTTTTTATTTGACTTCATTTTGTTTTGAAATTACGATTTGGCTAAGTTAAATACATATTGGTGCATGCATATGTTATAGTTCCGTCCTGCAGCTCAGTCACCCCAAGTGCAACAATTCATTCCCCCACCAGCTACGCAGCAATTTCATCCAGCAGGACAAGCGCAAAATCATGGGATGCCTCCTGGGCAAAGCCAACCACTTCCATTTTCTCAGTCAGCACAACAGTTTCTGCCGCAGACTGGGCATACTGGACCACCTTCATATCCTCAACCAAGTATGAATAATACACAAAGCATGTTGCAGCCTCAGCCTACTCTACCAAACCATGGGGTTGCATTCTCAACATCATACACTGTGAGATATTGGCCATTACGTTCTTCATTCTGTGGCAGATAAGTTTGAAATTATCTGATTGGTTTGTTTGTTTGTTTGTTTCCAGTATGCGTCATCTTCTTTTGGCATGCCTCAGAGTAGCATTGGCCTATCATCGCAATTTCAACCTTCATCCCAGATTACTACTCCTGTTGTACCTTCTGGAGCCCAACCATGGGCCCACTCAGGTCAAAGTGCACCTGTTGTTGCGCCGATGCAGCAACCCGGTCAACAAAGTTTCCCTATCAATGCTAATGCAATGGTATTGTTGCTGTTTAGTTGTCCTTTTCCTTTCTGCATTGCAGTTTAATGCAATAGGCTAATTTAAACTTAGTATATTTTTTGCATAGATCATCTCAAATTTACAGTCACATGGTTAATTATGTAGACACAATATAGTGTCAAGTTTTCCTTTTTTTATTAAACATGGATTATTGTTCACTGTATAGTGTTTATTATGAGAATGAACGTATGGTAATTGGTGATGCACTTTTTTGCTTTTCCCCACTTCATTAATGCCCAAATTTTCGTAATTTTCTGTGTGGCTAGGAGTTGGTGTTTTTAAAGCATAAATTACCTCATTAAATATCAACATTTTACGCCTTCCCTTTCTTGACCTGTATGTAAAGAAAGAGAGATCTGGAGATTATATATATGTATATATATATTGAAGGATCTAAACATTGACTTGATATCCTTGTATGATTTGGTACACACTTACTTTTCAGATAAAACGTGTATGCTTTATATGTTTTTCTGTCATTTGGAACTTTGTTGTTGCTGGTAAATAATGGTACCTGATTTTTATTGATTGAGGCTTTGTTTAAATGAATTTAATTTAAAGGGTTATGGTGGTGTTTTATATTGAATATAATTATAACCCAATGCGGCTCATTTTCACTTCATTTACCTTATTATAGTAAACAATATGGTATTTAATTATCCTTCTAGATTCTGTTTTTAAGTAGAATTATTTTGTAATGTTTCAGACTGCTACTAATTCTGGTACCCCTCAACAATCTGCTTCTGATTGGCAAGAATTTGAGGCGGCTGATGGAAGAAGGTAATTTATCCTCACGCGACTCTGTAACTTGTTAATGCAATTCACTTTACGAACAGGGAACTCGAACCTTTGACATTTCTGGGGACCTGGCTTGCCAATCATTGGTCCTTTGTTTTTAAAAAAATAAGAAAATATTCAAATCCTGTATAATACTGAAATTTTAATTCTTTTTTATGAATATATATGTTCTCAGATATTATTACAACAAGATCACAAAACAGTCCAGTTGGGATAAGCCTTCTGAATTGATGACTCCTCTTGAGGTGAGTTTTTTGATGTGGTACTTTTTCAAGAGTTCTTGCATCTGCCTACATCTTTTGTCGATAGCAGCTTATTTGCTTTGGAGTTGTGTGAATGCTGATCTATACTGTGGATTTGCAGTCTCATAATGCTTAAGATTAGTTCATGTGTATTGTCGTTTATTTGCATATCCTTCCACTGGTTTGTAGATGTCATTGGCAAGTCAGGGGATTATAACGACTGCTCTTTGTCCTCACTTTGAAGGCGGTTTCACTTTCTCAAGGCAGGCAACAATTTGCTATTTACGTTTAACCTGTACTGTTGGGAATTTTATTTTTAAATAAATTCTATGGCATTCTTTGGATGCTTGGTGGCCTATCTTCACTAGGACAGTTGTTTGATTTTGGGAGCACATGCACGAATTGATGACACTGCTAGATGTAACTGATTAAAAAGGAAATGTTCAACTAAAGTTGTGCATTATTTTGTCATGTGTTCCTCGGTTCTTTCTACTATAAGGTTTATGGAGGTTGTTTTACTATATCACTTGAGTGTAATGATTTTGATACCGTAAGTGTTACAGTTCAAAGCATGAGCTGCGACATCAATGCTAAAACACAATGCTTTGAACTGTAATCATTATATTTCATCAAGCACTCTTGTCGGCCAGTAAAGTTATGCATTATTTTGTCATATGTTTTACTTTTATTGGTTGTTCCACATTATGTTTTAGCCTTTTCTCTTTCATCAATTCATTGCTTTATGAATACTGGACAATTTGTGAACTATTTGCATACTCCCTATTGGTCTGATTAATATCTATTCAACTGAGGACCTTTGTTTTGACAGAGGGCGGAAGCGTCGACTGTTTGGAAAGAATTTACAACTCCTGAGGGTAGAAAGTAAGTATAACTGGAAATTCTGTTTTACTACTACCCTCGAATCTGCAATCTTTCAGTGGTCTTGCTTGAATTTTTGACTAATTTACATCAAAATATTTCGATGGAAATTTAACAGGTATTATTACAACAAGGAAACAAAGCAATCCAAATGGACAATTCCTGATGAGTTGAAGGTTTGTGGGAGAAAAAGCTCTTCTATAGTTATTTTCTTTCATTTGTAATTAAATCTTGTAAATATCCTACCAGTTGGCTCGTGAAAGGGCTGAGAAGGCTGCTGCAGAGGGAGTACACCCAGAAATTAATAATAGCTCTGGTGTGCCTGCCACTGCTAGTGGAACTTCTGTTGAACAACCAATTTCTACCACATTGACCGGGGTTGGACTCAGTTCTAGTCCTGCCACAGCTGTATCCAGTGGTCTTGATGCTAATGCTTCTACTGTAAAGGTTTCTGAATCATCAGCTGTTCCTGCAGCAGAGACTTCTACCACCAGCACCCCTGGGTTGCAAGCACCGGGAGATGCTGTGGCATCCTCATCCTCTGAATTTCCTGGAAGTTCAGATGTTCCTGCATTGTCAAGGACCAAGTCTACATTAGCGTATGGAGCTTCAAATTGATTTTGGCTTCATTTTTTTTTTCTTTAAAAATTTTCTGAAAGGTTTTATGATTTCTAACGTGAAATTATTTCAGCACCAGCATGGAAAGTCCATCTTCTCACATTGGAAAAGGTTCCTTAGGTGTATCTTCAGTCCAGGAAATTGAGGTATGATAGTTAGTAGAATTCCCATTTATGGAAATTTGTACACTCAATCCTGTATTGGATCTATGCCACCATTTTATTTATTATTTCATCCAGCAAAAATCCTCTTGCTGCTGCTCCTACATTGCCTTTTCTCCTCTCTCCCCCATCCTAATGCTTCATTATTGTATCCTTTCTGTCTGTCTCTCTCTCCCCCTCTTCCAACCTTCGCTATGGTGAACTTTTTAATTGAACAACCTTGTGATTGCTTGTTCTTCAGAGGAGTATTGGCTGCTTTATGGATTGCAATAGAGATATTTACTGTTGATACAACTTAACACACCCAATCGATGACAATGGACTATTCTCTTATTTTTCAGGAGGCAAAGAAAGGAATGGCTGTTTCTGGGAAAACAAATGTTACACATGGGGAAGAGAAAACAGTTGATGATGAACCTATAACATATGCTACCAAACAGGTCATCACCTTGAGGTTTTCTATCACTTAAATTTAAAGCTGGAATGTGTTTTAAGAATCTTATGTTCTTTCAGGAGGCCAAAAATGCATTTAAAGCATTATTAGAATCTGCAAATGTTATGGCTGATTGGAATTGGGACCAGGTATATTAGATATTCTTCTCCATGTTTTTCCTCAAATAACTCTGAATTTTCTAATGTAAACACATTATCAGGCTATGCGGGTTATCATTAATGACAAAAGATATGGTGCTCTGAAAACCCTTGGTGAACGCAAGCAAGCATTTAATGAGGTAATTTATGCTTGAGCTTATTGATAATGCTACCATACTTTTATGATATACCAGCAGATTTGTGTTCGATTGCATTGTCAGACAAATATAATATTGATATTTGACCTTTTTCTATTTTGGTTGGTCACAGTACTTAATGCAAAGGAAAAAGGTGGAAGCTGAGGAGAGACGGCTCAGGCAGAGAAAAGCAAAGGAGGAATACATGAAGATGCTGGAAGTATTGAACTTCTCTCAGTAGTTTGTTTCTTAAATTTCTATGATTTGCTATATCTGCTTCTACCTTTATACATGTCATGAAGAAACATTTCTCTTGCATGCAAGAAAGTGCTATTTCACTGCTCATTACGTTGATATTCTGTAATTGTGCCCATATGCAAACACAACATTTTTTTTTTCATCTGTATTTGCTAGCTATAGCTGAGACTAATCAAATTTCCATTTTACTGTTAGGAATGTGAAGAACTGACATCATCCACACGGTGGAGGTTGTTCACTCTCTCTCTCTCTCTCTCTTGTTATATTATAGATATTGGGCATAAAGTATCCTATTTAACACCTTTTAATATTGAACAGCAAAGCGGTGACAATGTTTGAGGAGGATAAAAGGTTCAAGGCTGTTGAGCTAGAATCAGATCGTGAGGATCTCTTTAGAAACTACTCGATGGATCTTCAAAAAAAGGTAAACAATAATGTAATCTGCTTTCTTAGGTTCTTGTGAGTGCTTTGTAATGTTTATAATGCAGCCAGACACATGGATGTCTAGATATTGCTTAAGTTCAAATATATACATTTTGACGGATGTGCTTCCTGTAACAGCCTTCTGCATCAGATCACCTCAGCTCCTTCTTCCTTTAATATCTGAGCTCTAGTTTGTATGCAAAGTATGTTGGCAAAGTTCTACAATATCCTTGCACCTGATGTTTTTGTTGTTTTGTGTATTGTCCAGGAGAAGGCAAAGGCTCAAGAGGAGCATCGGAGATATAGGTTGGAATTCAGGCAATTTTTGGAATCCTGTGACTTTATCAAGGTATAATGAGTAATGGTTGTTAAGTTCTTATGCTTTTCATCTTTCTTGCAAATATATTATGTTCTCTGTTTTCTTCAATTTACCCTTATTTTATTTATGATGTTTAGGTTGACAGTCAGTGGCGGAAAGTACAAGACCTTTTGGAAGATGATGAAAGATGCACACGCCTCGATAAAATAGATAGGCTGGAAATTTTTCAGGTTGGAAACCATTCATTAATTTATCATTGATTTTCTACTGTGAGTCCATTTATACAAGAACTCATTTATGCCTTGTAGTCGATTTTCTCTTTGACATCATAATCTCTATGGTGACCTTAAGGTGTGTTCTTTTGGAATATTTTCCAAAATGTCTACTATTCACAAAATCACCCCCCCCCCCTCCCAAACACAAAATCAAGTAAAGCACTTAATTTTTTTATTTTTTACAAAACATTGTATCAATACTTATATATATAATATTATACAACTATTCCAATTCAAATGTTTTGCTATTCAAATACGAACCCCACAATCCCAACCCCCAAACAAACACACCCTAAATGTTTCCTAGTTGTAAACCTGGATCCTCTTTAAGTGTACGTATATCATTTGTACAATGGTGTATCTGTAACTGCAGTATTATATCCGTGATTTGGAGAAGGAGGAGGAAGAGCAGAGGAAGAAACAAAAGGTATTCAGTTGAGCAACTCCTATGTTAGTTTTTCTAATCTGCTTGCTGAGATAGATTATGTCTTGTCATCAAGGAACTATTGAGACGAGTTGAGCGTAAAAATCGTGATGCATTTCGCAAGATGCTGGAAGATCATGTTGCTGCTGGCACTGTTACTGCTAAAACTCACTGGCGAGATTATTGTCAGAAAGTATTTACCCTTTCTTTTGTTACTAGTTTCTTGTCATTGCTCCTCAGAAAATGTTACTCATATGTTACCCTATAATCTAGTCATTATCACAAATTAAATGTTACATAAACTTTATAGGTGAAGGATTCGGAGGCTTACCAAGCAGTTGCCTCAAATCTTTCTGGCTCTACTCCCAAGGATTTGTTTGAGGATGTTGTAGAAGAACTGGAGCAAAAGGTACTTTTTGGCCATTTTAAAGAAAAAACCCTGGAGCTAAAACTATACTACTTTATGGCCATTTATTTGTTTACCTGTCTGGCTACTCATGTTTTCAAATCAGAAGATGCTACAGATGTTTGGACTTTATTATGAGCATCCACACTTTTGTTATATTTGAGAATATTTTTCTTTCTGCATAGCCATCAGTTTCTTTCTGTTCCATTTTAATTTAATTTATTTGCATTCATAATTTTTCCATGCTTCTGACAATTGCTTACAATGGTTGTCAGTATGATGAAGACAAAGCTTATATAAAGGATGTTATAAAGCAGGAAAAGGTTGGACTCTTATGATTTATCTATCATCTATAATAAGTTGGTGTTTGTAATGCTTACTTAAGTGCATCATATTTTTGCCTCTAGATTACAATTTCATCTTCGTGGACATTTGAAGACTTCAACTCCTCTATTAAAGATAGCATGGACATCTCCATGATATCTGATATAAATCTACAGGTATTGATTTTAATACGTGCTTCCAAACAATGAGGCATAACAGTTGCTTTCCTTATTCTAGAAAACTGGTTATCTAAATTTTTAGCCAAAATTGGTTTCATGACTTCCAATTACCATCACAGTCATTTTTGCCTGGAACTTGGCAATATTCAATTTCTGTGACATGTCTGGGATGTGCGAACATTCCTTTACTTTTCAGCATAATATTGCCATTGGGTTCTTGCTTTGAACTATCTTCTGTTTATACTGTGGTACAGATGAGGCTAATGAGCTAGATTTGTCATGTACCCATACGGTCAAGGTTTACTGGTTCTTGTGCGTGGGGATAAAATGTTGTCTGTCCACCATGAAATGATCACCTTCTGTAGTGTTTATATCACTAGAAAACAGTAATGAAGATTGAGTAGGTTTTGAAATCAGCTGAATTTAAGACCAAAAAGTTAGTATCTGGATGATGTCCTTTACAAGTACTTACCCTACATTGTTACTGGACAATTGGAATGATCTTTGTTTGAAGCAAGGCTGCATCAAATGGTTTTACTAATATTGGTTTGAAACTGCAGCTTGTATATGAGGATCTAATTGATAGGGCTAAAGAAAAGGAAGAGAAAGAGGTCAAGAAACGTAAACGGTTGGCCAAAGATTTTACAGATCTATTGAGCACCATCAAGGTATGAGTTTTACTTCTCTTATGAGGGATATTATCATTTCTTGGTTGCATGTTATCATGCAGTGTAGTTTGGCCCCCAAAAACGCATAGGAAAAAAAAAAAAAAAAAACCAAAGGTAAAAATCTATATGACAAAGAAGTATAGTGCAATTTTATTTTTTATTTTTTTTTAAAAAGTAAAGTCTATATATTTGTGTCACAATTAAAGAATTACATGCACATCCAGATATACCTTTACTAATATAAGTTTATTTATTCTCTAAACTATCATTACCATTAGATATAATTACAACACCTGATTATTTTATATAGATATTATCAAACCAATAAATCAAAAACACAAGCTTTGCACCATACAAAAAATGTAACCAAACAAAGCCATTGTCTTTCCTATCCTTCTCAAACTTTATAGATACTTTGCATAACATGTTCTGTTTACTCATTATAGGAAATAAATGCGACATCTACATGGGAGGAATGCAAACAACTTGTTGAGGAGAGCTCTGAGTACAGGTAAACACTTCTCAGTTGGATATGTCATCCGTAACAATGGAATGTGGAGAACTGCATGCTCATGTTTCCTGAGAATTCTGTCATGCCAACTGTTTTTCAGGTCAATGGGAGAAGAAAGCTTCTGTGTGGAGACATTTGAGGAATATGTATCTCGCTTAAATGAGAAAATGAAGGACAAGGAGCGCAGACGGGAGGAAGAAAAGGTAATGCAAACCAGGATGCTTGTATAATTGGTTTACTCCTGCGAATGCTGGTGGCATTATTTAATTGTCTGCTTATGTATCTATTTTCCCTTTCAGGCCAAAAAGGAGAAAGATAGGGAGGAGAAAGACAAGAGAAAGGATAAAGATAGAAGGGAAAAAGAGAAAGAAAAGGAAAGGGAGAAAGATAGGGATCAGAGAGAAAAGGAGAAGTCTAAAGATCATGCCAGAAAGGATGAAGAAATCGAGGATGAGGATGATGTCGAAAGCTATGGACACAAAGATGACAAAAGAAGGGAAAAGGAGAAAGATCGGAAACATAGGAAGCGTCATCACAGCACAGCAGAAGATGTGAGCTCTGATAGAGAGGAAAAAGAGGAGTCAAAGAAGTCCCGCAGACATGGTAGCGACCGAAAGAAGTCAAGAAAGGTACATCTGGTTGCTAAGTTAAATTTTAGATTTTCAATGATAGGTTAACCTCAATGATCTGATGTGCTATAATTGTTTCTTTCAGCATGCATATTCTCCTGAATCAGATAATGAGAGTAGATATAAAAAATACAAAAAAGATCACCGGGATGAATCTCGACGAAGTGGCCCATACGAGGAGCTTGAGGATGGTGAGGTTGGTGAGGATGGGGAGATCCAATAATCATTTCAGGCCTTTTCCTGCCTTCTCAACTATTATCCATGACATTACTATATCATGGTATTTTACTGCAAAATCAACTGTTTTGCTGGATGATTAGATTGGTTCCCTATGCTTGTACTTTCCCTCCTCATTGGGTTCACTTTGTGTCATGAAAAATTTTCCTGCGGCAAAATACTGTTGGAGTTCTAATAGATATAATGTTTAAGTTGGCAGATGGGAGAAGCGGTCTGGCATGACCATCTTTGGCATCTGTTAATTCTTGCTAGTTATGCATTCATCAGCCTTTCAGAATGTTTTGGGAACAGTTTATGTAGTGTGGATGCTATATGCAGGCGCATAATATACATAGTATTACTTTTGTGCTTATAATTGTCTTAATTAGATTAGTGACATGTGCAAAATCTGTTACCTTAATTTGTTCAACTCAACACATGGTCAGGGTAATAATTACCTATCAGTCAGGAATTGAATATTATAAAATTTTGGGACATACAAGAAGCATTTTGAGGGTTACAGAATGAGGTTAGATAGTAGATTCGCTGATGTGATGAGTTTGATGCTCACTGATCAATATTGGACATATTTGTGGTAGTGACATTTTTTATGCTTACTAATGGCTGGCCGAAATTTCTTGATTGTGTGATTAAGCCTCTGTCATGTCATGTCATTTATGTTCAGATGAAATAAATTTTTATTTTTTGTGAAGTATGCTGATCATTGTTTATTACAAACATGTAACGTTTGGATTTTCAGTTAACAACAATTTCTTGAAATGTATTTGAATTTTGCAGGAAAAGTTCTATGGATGATTTTTTCAGGTAGATCAGAAGTATACTTCATGATAAGTATGAATTGTATATATAATAATTGTACACTAACCTTTAATGATGAGTTAAGTGCTGTGTAAATTAGAATTAGAAAGTGAGAAGTGAGAAGGGATTTCATACTTGAATTCTTGAAGTTGATTGAATGATTTTATAGTCATCCTAGAATACAGAAGCCTACTATATTAGCAAAATAGCATCTCATGGATAACATCGGCCAAAATAGCTTCCTCAATCTCCTTAGAAATTTCCATGCTCTGCTGCTCAGAGTCCTCTCTCTTTACTCCAACCAAGAAATCATGATATAGCAGATGAACAGTGTTATTTTCATCTATTGGTTCTTGACTCCATTCCCATACTTTTTCGCAAACAAGCTTCCAAACTTCTTCAGCCCCCAATATTTTCCTTATCTGTTCTCTCCCTATATCTCTTTCCCTACAATATTCTATTACCTCTCTAACACAATCAATCAACAGCTGCTTTGTCTGCTTCATAGCTTTCTTGTTTATAATGTACTGTGAGTAAGAATCCGAGCCTATAATTCTAGGCAATCCCTGAACACTATAATGTAGCTGCTGCTTTGCCTTGTTTTGAGATATTGATGCTGAGGATTCCCCTTGTGATGATGCCTTGAAATTGGATTTTCCTGTGCATAAGTTTTTTAGATTTTTTGACCTTTAACGAATTCCTTTACATAGGATTATCTTTAGGTATTAACTTACTCTGATTAATTGGTGAGCCTTCATCTGATTCAGTTTCTTGTAGGACAGAGATAGGGCTGAGCTGTTTGCTCTCCTCCACTGATCCCCATTTCCCCCTTTTCTCGACGGTAACCTGTTTGGTTTGCAAAAAGCCAAACACAGATGAACAAAACCAGGCTTGCTAAATTTAGAACATATGATTGCACTTCCACTGGAAATTTCTTCTTTATGAATAAGTAGGAGTTAAATACCTCTTTTGCTATGATATCCCTTCCACGCTTCGTGACTGAGTATTTGGACTTAGCTGTGCTGCTTGATACTGATAACCTGCACTTTCCTGTATATTTATGTGTCCACTTCTCCACAAACGAATTCATCCAACCTCCATTGGTGCTCTTTATCATGCATGTATTATCATCAATCATGCGGTGGCTGACAACAGATTTGATGAATTTAGTACAATGAGGAACTAAGTGCATTCTCTTTTTTAGACTGCAGCTTTCCAAAATCTTGATGCTTCTGAGATAGCCTCTTTCAAGAAGGTAAGCCTCTAAAACAAAGGGCTCTTGCTGCTCTTGCAGAAGCTCCCCCAACAATTTGGGCATTGCTGTTGTGACTTCGATGCTTAGTTTGTGGAGTTGTGGTTGCAGAGAATAGAGTTATGGTTTTCAGGAAGTGACATGATGAGGACAAAGGATAGAGAGTTTGTTTGTTGCAGGTGCAATAATGAGGTAAGACAGTGCATTCCTTCTTCAGTTAGAGACTGATATGTATCAGAAGATTGTAGAGCCTATAAAGCCTTGAGACATAAATTTAAGGTATGGGCATACACTGCATATATATATATACATACATACTCATCATATGCATCTATGTATGGTAGAAGTGAAGAAATTGACCTGACAATGGCCCTTCAGATATACTTGTCTTTCTTGGCTCTATGTGAATTATAATCATAATATGCTTGTTTGTGCTGTTTCTTATGTTCAAATTTCAAAATGGGATATTTGCCATTGACATGGTTTCTTCATGTTCAATGATTTATTTTGTGCTGTGACTTGAGGTCACTAATTTGATTCCCTTAGTGATATATTGGAAAAAAGATACTACTTGGTGTCTTGAAGTTGCAGCACATATAAAGTATGATTCGATTTGAATTCTTTGAAGCTCCCGGGATCCTCAAGACCAAATGGGCTTCCAAGAAATCAACCACAGGTGAGTTAATTTTGCCTGAGTTTTTGTCAGATAGTTGTAAATGCTTAGATCAAAGTGTTGGCTGACAGTATGTGTATATGTTTATATATCTATATATATATACATATATACAGTGGTCCCTTAATATTTGTCATCTTGCAAAGGTTGGTGCTATATTATTAATTGTGGAACATGTAATTGGGAAAATGGTGGAAACAAACAAGCCTAGAAGTGAAATTAGAAATGCCCTCTTTAGTGGGGATTCATTCCCATTTCATGACATGTTATTACTGCTCTTCATTCACTTGCACTAAATTAGAGTGGTTAAAATTTATCTATGAGATGATGGGATAGGATCATAGGGTGAAGTTATGGGCAAAAGATGATAGTGTTTTGTCTTTAATATTATATATATATATTTATGCATCTGCAGGTGGATTGATATTTCCCTGAAATGACAATAATACAATTCTTGAAAGTAACTTCACTTTGCACAGGACAGTATACACTATTACTCTAGTCCACACACGTTATATATTAATAGCAACTGGGATTTGTGGATCTCCCTTTTTCAGGCATTATTTATTTATTTATTTATTTTTGCTGATATATATAATACAGTATAATGTTGTAGAATTCCATTTGGATTTGTCGATTTGAGCTTAACTAAAATATTGGGCTTAGATTTGTGGTGCAGCCCAATGTTCAGGATTTGGGCCTGCAGATTATATTCAAGACTTTTCTCTTCTGCCAATTAAGTAAAGATATTTTGAATATTTTATTAAGGTACATGGGTTTGTTTCTTTTGCTTTTAAATTTTAGAATTTTTATTATTTCGATATTGTATTTTTTAAAAATATATTTTTTTTTACAAAATATTTTATTATATACTCCCTCGTTCTCAAATATTATGCAACATTTTTCTTTTTTTATCACAATATTTTCAAAATAAAAAATAATTAATTATACTTAATATCTATATAATATTTTATCATTTCAAATAAAAATAAAATATATATTCTCCATTTATTCACTTAAAAATGCGTGTTGCAGTTTATTTGAAACGAAATGAATATTATTTTAATATTAAATATAAACTATTTTTTTATCTATAAAAAAATAAATAAAATAAATCGTGTATGTATTATTTTATCAAAAAATAAGTATATATTTTTATGAAATAGAAAACTCCTATAATAACTTATTAAAAAAAAAATTAAAACTGGAACCCTGCTTCTACAGTTCTACTGCAACATCTTCTTTCCTCTTCACTTCACACCTTACTTCCTTCTTCTTCGTCACTCACGAGTCTCCGACGGGCCGTCGTCAACTGGAAGTTAGACCGGCCGGCCGTCTGGAACAGACTTGGCAGATGGTGACTGGCGATGCCACAAGGTAACGACTAGGCCAATTTTCTAAAATAAGCGCCCTTCTTCTCTGGTATTTATTCTCCAGCCTCGTTCGTTCCGTGCTTTCTTTTAAGAGATTGGTATGCTTTTTTTTTCATAATTTTATAAACTTATCGTGCTGTTCATATCGATCTTTAACATTGCAACTAACTCTACCACCACAATTTTCATACACAAGCAACTAAAAGCAAAGGAAGATGGAGAAGAGAGAGCTTCCGCAGCAAAACGAAGTATCAATTTAGTCATGTCCTGAAACAGACTCCCTGAATTTCCATGGAATCCCTAAAATCCTCTTTCCTACACCCCTCTTTGTTGAAGCCCCCTTCGAAGGTCCATAAGCGTGGCAAACCGCCATCTCCCACAGTACTCTGCTGCCTCAAGCCAGATCCCTGGTCCCTCAGTTCTGGAAATTCCAAAGATCTAAATAAACCGAAACCTAAATCCAAACACCCCAAGAATGTCCTGTCCGACGACAATGCCCGCCGGATAATCAAAGCCAAGGCAAGGTACTTGAGTGTTTTGAGACGAAACCAGGGCTCGCTTGTGCAGACGCCTAGATGGATCAAACGAACCCCTGAGCAAATGGTGCAGTATTTGGAGGATGATAGGAATGGACATTTGTATGGTCGCCACGTGGTAGCGGCGATTAAGTGTGTGAGGAGCACTTCGGGGATGCGCGAAGGGAGCTATAATATGAGGGAAGTAATGAGCTCGTTTGTTGCTAAGCTTAGTTTTAGAGAGATGTGTGTTGTGTTGAAGGAGCTGAAAAATTGGCGCCAAGTGAGAGACATGTTTGCTTGGATGAAATTGCAGGTTCCGCTCTCTATTTCTATTCTACTGCGTTCGTGTTTATATGAGTTGAGTCTTTTTTAGTATAATATCGAATCTATTTACATTGTATTGAGTGCAATTACTATAATACTCCCGGAATTAGGCTGGTGCTAGGTAACTCTCGAGTATGGATGAGCGGGTGCTAGGTCATTCGGGATTGAATAGAGATTAAGTGGATTGAATAGACTAATTATGTCAATAATGTGAACATTCTTTTCCGGAGCTCCGCCGAAAAAACTTTAAGAGTTAGGCCGGTGCTAGGTAACTCTCGAGTATGGATGAATGGGTGCTAGGTCATCTAGGATTGAATAGAGATTAAGTGGATTGAGTAGGCTAATTATGTCAACAATGTGAATATTCTTTTTCGAAAGCACTGCTGAAAGAACTTTAGAGTTAAAAGTGTGTAATTTAAGGATTGATGACCCTAGGAGTCTCATAGGGCACATGAGTGAGGATGCCTAAGGGGCTAGTTAGCGTGCTTGTTCTAGAGTAACTTTAGATGTGTGACCCCTGGGAAGTCTTATAAGGTGAGTGAGTGAGGATGCCCGAGGGACCCTAAACCCTAAACCAGTCTGCAATCCCAATACGCCGGAGCTTGCTGGCCGAGGTGTCACAATTACAATGTTTTTGATTGAAATCTTGAGATGAAAATAGGTTAGTCGGGCTCTCTACAAAACTTATTGCTATATTAATTTCAACATTGATGTTCTAATGGCCTACTTCATTTTTAGCTGCACCTCATTCTTCATTAAAGCCTAGGGTCGTTACTTTGATGAGTTTTTGTTCATCTCTAGAAGTGGTTACAAGCTTTAAATTCATAACTTCTTATGTTTTGGTTTAGATGCAACTAAGCGGAATAAGAATTACATATTTTATAGCTATTGATTAGTTGTAATGTAGAATTTTTCTATAACAGTTATGCTACAGGCCCAGTGTGATCGTATACACAATTGTTCTCCGTGCACTTGGCCAAGCCGGTAAAATAAAGCTTTCTGAAGAGATTTTCTTGGAGATGCTTGAAGCAGGGTGTGAACCTGATGAGGTGGCTTGTGGAACAATGTTATGCTCGTATGCTAAATGGGGCCGCCCCAAGGCAATGCTCTCATTTTTTGCTGTAGTTCAGGAGAGAGGGATAATACCTTCGACTGCAGTTTTTAATTTCATGGTATCCTCCTTGCAGAAGAACTTGCTTCATAGTGATGTTATATATGTTTGGAGACAGATGGTTGGTAAAGGAGTCGCGCCAAATGAATTTACATATACAGTTGTAATTAGCTCACTTGTGAAAGGAGGGAAAACCGAGGAAGCTTTTCGAACATTTAATGAGATGAAGAATTTTGGTTTTGTGCCTGAAGAGTCAACTTATAGCCTTTTGATTGGTGTATACTCGAAAGATGGTGACAAAACTCGCGCCCTTTGTCTTTATGAAGACATGAGATCCCGCAGAATAGTACCTAGTAACTATACGTGTGCTTCACTCCTGGCCTTGTACTATAGAACTGCAGACTATTCGAGTGCCTTTTCACTTTTCACCGAAATGGAGCTGTATGGGGTTGTTGCAGATGAAGTTATCTACGGCTTACTAATTCGTATATATGGTAAATTGGGTCTTTATGAAGATGCACAAAGGACATTTTCAGAAATCGAGAGATCGGGCCAGCTTACCCGTGAAAAGACTTACACAACGATGGCGCAAGTCCATCTTAATTATGGGAATTTCGACAAAGCTTTGGATGTGATGGAAAAAATGAAAAGTAAAAGTATTCCATTCTCAAGATTTTCGAACATCGTATTGCTGCAATCCTACATATTGAAGATGGATCTTGCTTCCGCAGAAATTACATATCAAGCTCTTAGTAAGACTGGAGTTCCTGATCCCACTTCTTGCAAATATATGCTTAATTTATATCTGACACATGGATTTTCTGAAAAAGCGACAAGTTTTGTGGATCAGATCAAGAAAGACGGAATAGAGTTTGATGAGGAGCTTTTCATGATAGCTATGAGGGTTTATTGCAGGGGAGGCATGCTACAGAATGCGGAACAACTGATAGAGGGCTTGAGTACAAAAGAAATGTTTCGGAATTTCCCCCCTTTTAAGGCATTTCATATGGCTATGAATGGACAATACAACACATCAGCAGAATATGAAAGTTTTCTTGGTACCTTGGGACAAGGAGGAGAGATTGCGATGGAATTGATGATCACACTGTGTTTGGCTGCTCGAAATGAAGTGTCAGTGCAACTAAAGCTTGAGCTGTTGCTTCAGACCAAAGTTGGCATGACAGTAGGCAATCAAATGATCACCAAATCTGCAAAAGAAGGTATGTATATATTCATGGGATATTAGCCACATGCTAAGTTTCACGTTGTGAGTTATTGTCCTCTTATTTCATTTATTTCCATCCTTATTTTTTCCTGAAGATATGATATGATTACATGCTGCAGGTGATCTTTTGTCTACTGAATATCTGTACAGGTTAATGATAAAACTTCGATGCAGAATAGAGGATGCCGCTGGAGCATCTTTGATTGGTGCATATGCAAAAGTAAACAAAGTCAAACAAGCAGAGGAAGTTTTTGCAGCTGTAGCAGGTTGTGCTACAGATGAAAATGCTGTGTACGGTTCGATGATTGAGTCTTACATAACATGTGGTATGGAGGAGGAAGCATACATGTTTTATACAGAACAAGAAGTGAAAGGGCACACCTGGGATCCAGTTTCTATCAGCATACTTGTGAAAGCTTTGGTAGGCTGTGGTAATGTGATATTAGTTCCTTTTTTTATTTTATTTAATCGTTTATTGTAGTTTTCAGCTCACCCATTATTCTAGCTAATTTTGAGCCCAGCAGAAGCAGTTCTAAAATTTAGGATGCTAATACTTGCTTATTTGAACCAAGTAAAAAGTATTTTACCACTTATTTCTATGTTTATCTAGTTAATGCTAAAGAAGAATTGCGCGTCAATAATACGCATTAATTCTAGTCATACAGATTGGACAAATGGATGTTTTTATTGAAGATTTATTGCTATTATTTGCAGGTAAATATTCTGAGGCTAGGGAGATCATTCTTCATAGTTTTCGCAAGAATTTGAAGCTTGATACTGTGGCCTACAACACTTTCATTAAGGCAATGTTAGATGCAGGTTCATACTGTCGTTTCCTAAAGCCATGAATATTATTGGCGATAGCATATGGTGATAAACTGATATTTTTAATGGCACAGGAAAACTTCATTTTGCAATCAGTGTATACAAGCGCATGGTTTCCTCGAACATATCTCCAACAATTCAAACATATAACACGATGATCAGGTCTGACAGTGATTTTGACTATTGTGGGGATATGTTGTAGGGGGAAAGAGTTATTATCCACCAATTTGATTGAGATTCATGTTTTTGTAGTGTGTATGGACGAGGCCGAAACCTTGATAAAGCAGTGGATATGTTTAACATTGCTCAGAGCATGGGCGTGGCATTGGATGAGAAGATATATACCAACATGATTTGCACATATGGGAAAGCAGGTGCAACTCTAACTGTAGGTTCATTTTGCCCTAGTGTTTTGAGGGCCTTATATAAAAAATTAATCACAGGATTCTTCGATAATGCTTGAACACACAATGGAGACATATGGTATCAATATCCGACACTATTGTGGGATTAAACCTTGGATGATGATGATGATAACTAACTCTACTTTTAGTTTTAAGTGCATATGTTGAAAATAACATTGTGAAAGGCTACAATCTAAGCAACCATGAACTTAATCAGTAACGAAAATGAGATTGTAAATAAACTGTGGTTGAGCATTGAAATTCACTGTAGGGAGTATAGCTCAAGTTTCATTATCTGCCAGCATATTTTCTGAGTTGGAGTTAATTTTGCAGGCAAAGTTTGTGAAGCATCGGCTCTATTCACTAGAATGCAGGAGGAAGGAATAAAACCTGGGCTGGTAAGTATTTTCTGAACACGGCATGAACTTATTTCTATCACATATTTTGGGTTGATGATGGTGTTGTGTAGTCCATTGGACTTAAACAAGAATTCCAAAATGAGGGACTTCTGATAAATGACAATCACAGTATTGTCATATACACCGATGTTAGATGGAACTACCACAGGCATTCTTAATGAACAACACAAAATCAAAACACATGAGGAGATTGTAAAGTTATGTGCCCCTAAGTATCACAGGCTAGTAGTGTGCATTTCAACGGTCGATTGCGTTCTGTTTCATATTTTCCTTGGTGTTGCACCATGCAGATGAGCTACAACATTATGATCAATGCCTTTGCTGCTGATGGACAGTACCATGAAGCAGAACAGATATTGCTAAGTATGCAGAGAGACGGTTGCTCACCTGACTCTCTTACATATCTGGCTATTATTCGAGCTTATACCAAGGCAGAGAAATATTCCGAATCAGAAAGGGTCATAAAGCTAATGCAGGAGGAAGGACTCTGTCTGTCTTCTGCTCATTTTAACCTCTTGCTGTCAGGTTTCACCAAAGAAGGATTTATAGAGGAAGCTGACAGAGTATACAAGCAAATTTACACAGCTGGATTAAAGCCTGATCTAGAGTCCCGACGCATAATGCTTAGATGCTTCTTGGATTATGGGCATGTGGAAGAAGGAATCTATTTCTTTGAAAGAGAATGCTGCTCTATCAATGAGGATAAGTTTATTTCGAGTGCCGCTGTTCACCTTTATGATTCAGCCAACAATAAACGGAAGGCCAAAGAGGTTTTAGACTCTATAAATGCTTCGGGAGCAAAATTCTTGGATAATCTTAAAGTTGGAGCAAGGGCAAAAGGTATGTGAGTGAGAGCAAGTCGCTTGGGTCGAGCCTAAGTATTATGTATCTATCTTTTATTTATCTTTATAAATAGGTAGGAGTTAAATACTTCTTTTTCCGTATTAGCTGCGCTGCTTGATACTGAAAACCTGCTCTTTCCTGTATATTTATGTCGGATGTTCCATTTCTCCGCAAACGTATTCATCCAACCGTCGTTAGTGTTATCATTTGTGGGATTTTCCATGTTCTAAGATTATAGAATTGTTGAAGTACTGTAGCTTTCATGTAACAAGAATCCCTTATTTCGCAGCTGTAGCAACCTATTGTCCTCAGTAGAGGGAGTAGTTCTTATCTTGGATTGTCCGGTCGGTAAGATATCTCAAACACTACCCTGCCTTGTTCGTTGTTCAATTGATTTTTGTTTCTGATTGCTTGCTTGCTTGCTCTATTTTGCTGTTTCTTCTCTTAGTGAAGCTTTAGCTGATCTTTATTCTGTTTCCCCAGCCAGCTTGGAGAAAGAAATTTCAGACAGATTTCTTGATCTTGATGTTGTTTTGTAAGTATACATACATTCATATATATATATATATATATGAGATTAATGACATGATATTTGCTTCAATCGGTGTTCGTTCATAGCACAAATTTCTGAGACAATGTAACAACTAAGGCAAAGGAGAAAGTGAGGTTTATCAAATACTATAGTCAATCTGTATATGGATCTTTGCAATATTTTGTCGATTCTGCTTCTACAAACACTACTCTAATCTTATTTGTGTGTGTTTGGTATAGAAACTACGACTGCGGATCGAGGATCCACCACGAAGGAAGCGTCGTATGGTTTATCTTGGAGCTGCACTACTTATCAAGGTGATTATATTTCCTTCCCTGTTCATGCTTGCACTCAATGAATGTGCTTCGCCCCGTGTGTATATATATATATATATATGTGTATGTAGAATTTCATTTGGATATGTCAATTTGAGCTTCACTCAGCATAGATTTGTGCATCGTATTTGGTTGAATCAGCATATGTCATATACATAATCAGCATAGTTCTAATATAACATATATACGCTTAATATATGCTTATTCAGTCATGACTTAGATCGGATCCACAGTCCATGCCCGGGAGGATTTCATATCTCTAATGCCTTATTATTGTTAATTAATGTCTTTTAAGGGTAAATATGACTATTCATTATTTTTTATTCTATATATAAAATATTAATATTAAAAAATTTACTTGGAAAAAAAAAATAAAAATTATGTGCACATGGTGCATGATGTTTTTTTTGTTTTTTTCCCTTTCTTTCTTTCATATACTGTTCCTATTTATTTTGTTGATTTTTTGACAATGTTTTTATAAGAAATAGAGTTGAATATATACCCTATGTATAGTACACCAACATTATTGTTTCATTATTAAACCTTAATTGTAATTATTTAATTAGGTAATAAAATAGTACACAGTTAATAATCTTATATATATAATGTCAACTAATTTCACATCAATTGGCCTTATTTTCAAATTTCTTTACCAAACTCATCATTAAGTCACTTTCTTATCTCATACAATGTTTTACTAAATATTTTGAAATTATTACTTATAACCTAATTTTGATTAACTTAAGATGCTCTAAATTAGTAAATATATATTACTAAAGTGGAATCTGACGATGCATTCCATTTATACATGTGGGTGTGTTAAATGATTTTATTTTATTTTATTTTTTAATTTATATAAGATCATAAATATGTTACACAAAAGAATAAATTAAACTAAAGAATATTTGAAATGATTATATATATATATATATATAATGGAAAAGTGTAATATTGCATAACATTAAAATATTTATATGCTCTGCACTTGGTCAGTTGAAATTTAATAATTAATGGATGATTCACAAAAAAATATTTAACATTATCTAATAAATTTAGCAATGAAGACCTCATGACGTGGCTGGGTAAGTCGATAATCATGATGACAATTTGTCAATTATTGATTTTATTTTATTTTTTCTAAATAAAATTATTTCCACGTTACTATGTTATTTGAAAATAAAATAGTAATTAAATATATTCAAATATGGCACGCTATAATAATCAATTCAAACCACATCACCGATTCAATTTTCTTCTTACAAGGTTTGTTTGTTGAATAAAACCCATTTGTTCATACCCGACAATTTCTCGGCACTCCCGGGACCTCCAACTCCATTCCCCCATCCGGGGAGACAAATAAGTATAAAAATTGAGGACCCTTTTTTACTTTTACACATGAAATAACATAAACAATGAATCAATAATCTATTTATTTTATATTATAGATTGCTATAACAGTTCTATCCTTAACAAAATCACATGCCATGTCCATGGTTCTGAGGTCCCGGACCTCTCCAATCACCTCCGGCCACTCACGCACTTTCCTCCGCCCACTGGATTGAAACTAGCCGCCGCCACAAAGAGACGTTTCTTAACTTATTTAATAATAATAATAATAATAATAATAATAAAGACAACGTTTGCGAACGAGTTTTAACCGAGCCGAGTCCACGAATAGCTCAGTTCGTTTAACAACTTTATTTGTGGTAAATTAAATTAAATTATTATTATTATTATTATTATTATTATTATTATTATTATTTTTATAGTTTTATATATATAGTATTATTTACAATTTTAAAATAAAAATTACATAAAACAGTGAGTGAACAAATTCTTATATGATAAATAAAAATATGATAATACATTTATATTACATTTTCAAAAAAGACAGGAAACAATCGAGGAAATAAAAGTTGATGAGTCTGTTCTTTTTAATCATTTAAGATTTTTAATTTAAATAATTATTTTGATATAATATACTTAAAAGGTCCGTCAAATTTATTCTTATTATTCTTTTTTGGTATGTTCGTCTTTTTAATTTATTCCATTATTATATTTAAAAAAATAAAAAAATCAAAATTTAATTATTAATCTACATTCAATACTTATTTACAATTAAATCACTTATTTTATTACATTCTTTTTCTATTTCTCTTTAGTATTTAATTAATTTTTAAAAAATATTTTCAACTATTTTTTTTTAAATTTTTTTTACTATCTTAATAAATAAAATATTTATCTTTTTCTAATCCACGAGCCCAAATGGGCTAAATTTCGTGGAATGGGTATATTTAAAAAACGATATATTACTTTCATCCCATAAAAAAGTAATATTTGGTTTTTTGCATGTAAATTTTTTAATATTAGTATTATATTGGTTTATAATGGAAATGACAAAAATGCTAGATTGTGTGATATCTTAAAAATTTGTAAGGGTATTAATTATGTTAGATAAGTAAAAAATTACTAAATTAAAAAATAATATTTTGAAAGACAAAACTGAAAAATAGTACTATCTTTCTTATAGTGATAGAATATATTTTTACAAAGAACTTAAAAATTAAATAATACTCACTCCGTCCCAATGGATGTCTTGGTTACTGTAGACACCAAAATTTAAGTTAAATATAATTAGTAGATAATTAAGAATGTATTAATAAAAATAATTAATATATAATATAAATTATTATAGATTAAAATTAAGATAATTAATTACTTTTATTAAAATTTAAAAAAAACTAAATTAAAAATTTAAAATGAGATTGAGATGCATAAATATTTTTTAAAAAATTTTAATATGAAATGTGGAACGAATAGAAATGAAAATAAGAACATGGTAGTTGGGACGGATGAGTAATAATAATTAGTAGTAACCAAACGCGGCTAGGTGTCCTGTGTTAAACAAACAAACAAACAGACCCTAATTATTACATAACTTTCCGCGCTACGGCAATACGTACACACACAAACACGTACACATATGTGTGTGTGTGTTTATATATAAATATATATGCCATAACCTAACGCCCAATTGTTTTTCAATTTCTCAAACGAAGCCTCGAAAAGTTTTAATTACATCAACCTCCCCAAAAAAACCACTTTTTGGAAATGAAGACAAGAGGAACCCAACACAACAGATTCCTCCGCGTAATCTCGATCCCGTACCGGGCGCTTTGCAAGGTCCGGGACTTCTACGTCAACAGCATCATCGACTGCACCAACAGCAACGTCGTCGGCGTGCGCGGCGCCTCCCAGGCGGCGCCGCTGCCGCGGAGCTTCAGCCGCGCTAGCTCGGCGCGCTCCGACGACAGCGAAGATTTTCGCGAGCTGGTCAGGGCGGCGTCGGCGAGCTGGCGCAGCAGCCGGCTCGACGCCGAGCTGAAGATGCGGGCCGCCGCCGCCGGCGACGGCGAGAAGCGGTCGCTGCCGCCGCGGAGCGTCAGCGTCGGAATGGGAAGGATCGACGAGGAGCGGCCGTTGAATTATTTCGCGGGAGAGGGCGGCGGCGGTGATCGGAGGAGTGTCGCCGGCGACGGGAAGAAGATGGATTTGAAGTATCCGAGGAGCAAAAGTCACGCCGTCGTGAGAACTTCGTTTTGACTGTGATCCGCCATCGCCGCCGTGGAAGAGAAGCTTTTCCGGTGGGTGTTAATTGTCGGGGAGCGATTTCGGGAAGATTGCGCGCAGGGGATGGTCCGGGAGTACGGGTCCCGGAGTGGCTGAGCTATTCCGCGTTGAGGAATTCTGTGGATTGCCAATGGTTTTAAGATTTATTATTATTATTTTCGTGATTGAAGAAAAATAGAAAATAGAGTAATTAAGGTATGTTTAGTTGGCATATTATCCGTCAAAAGTTTTCTTTTGAAAATATGAAGTTAATTCTTTCATTTTTTAATAGTATTATTAAAAAGATTTTATTCTCTATTTAATATCATATTCCATACTTATTTTTTTTATTATTTTTATAATTGAGGGCAATTTAATCTCTTCGATAGTTGAACAAATATTGACTAAATAAGCATCCATAAATATCTTGAGAAAGTGCCTATTCGAGTAATGACTTAGTCAAATTAATATCTTTTTTGACAAGCGGTGCTGTAGCTGATAGTTGATTTTAGTTTATTTAATTAGACTAGCTTATCTTTTTATTTTATTTTTTTAATTTTTTTAAATTGTACCAAATAAAAAAATTTAAAAAATACAAATAAAATTTAAAATAAGTTTTAAAAAAATTAAAAAAATAAAAAATAAATAAAAAAATCTACGTGTCTACTAGGTCAGCGACACTTGGCGGACACGTCACCTCCGGCTAGCCACGCAAGCATCTCCGGCGCCAGATGACTAAAACAACGAAAATTTTTCACTTATGAGACTAGTTTGCGACAAACTCCACTTACGAGACTAAAATAATAAGAGGATCCAGTTACCGGACTAAAAAAAACAGTTTACCCTAATAATAATAATAATAACAATAATAATAATAATAATAATAATTTGAAATCAGATGATTACTATAATTATTCATTTAAAATAGAATTATTCATTTAAATGAATCTTACAGATCTTTCTTGCTATTCATGGATTTGTCTCGTTTGTATTTCAACTTACTATATTTACTTCATTTGTATGATTTTAATAAAATATATTATTTATTTTTATAAAATATTATTTAAATTCAAATTCAAATAAAAATATATAGTAAATCTTAATTTTATAATTCTGAATGTTGTGCAGTATCTTAAAACCTAAAGGTTTAGTAATTATTCCCAAGAAAGAAGACGACAGTGGCCTACTCCCATGTTGTCCCAACTATTCCTAGCACTTCCCTTTTCAACAAGGTATATATTTTGGGTATAAAATATTTAGGATTTATTATTTTTTCTTAAAATAAAACAATATTAAATAATTATTATTTTATATTATTTACAGAATTTTCTATTTAAAATAAAAAATTATAATATTATTTTAAACTATATGACAAAACAAACATACTCTTAATTAAATTACATATCTCCGTTCACTAATATAACAAATTTAGTCATAATTCTTAAGTAGTATTAGTGAAAAAAACTAACAAATTTTAATATATGTACATACAACAATTATACATTATCAAAAAAATAAAATCAATAATTCAATTAAAAGAACTAAACATTTCATTTATTATACTCCCTCATCCGTCTCATATCTATATATTCATTTGCTTTTTGCACGAAATTTTAAAAATATTAGTATTATATTGAGATAAAGTAGAAATAAAGGTAAAAAGACTAAATTAACTATTGTATGATATAAACGTAATGTCATTTGTGTAATATATTGTAAATTGTAAGGGTATTTGTAACGTTAGGTAGATAATACAATTTCTAAAAAAAAAAGGAAATAAATACTTTATTATGGGACAGACCAAAATAGAAAAATAGATAGATTGTTAAAAGACGGATGAAATATTACTGAATTATTTTTTTATTTATTTTTATATATAACACTTAAAACTAAACACAAACACTTTAATATTCAGATTTTTGTAGATCAACCGGTGAGACAGTTAAGATTTTTAATAAAAAATATGTAATTTAGTTTCTAAACAATATGAAAAATAAATTCAAAATATAAGTAAAGAACCTTTAATTGATGGGTTTTATTTTGTTACTATTTTAAATTCAAATCAATATTATTTATCAACATAATTTTTATTAAAAATATACTATTAATTTTATAATAAAGTATAAAATATCACATTCAAATACTAATTGAAAAAGAAAATGGCAGATCTAACACATTATTTCAAATAAAGTTAAAAAACACAACCAAACAAACCCAATGAAGTGAAGTTAAATTTGTAGACCCTTTAACGTGTTTATACGTATGTGTAACTAAATTTAGGAGATATTACTTCATGAAGAAAATCGAAGCCGTTGCTATATTTCTTCATCGTACGGCTCACATTGTCCTAATAAATACAAGGCGGCAGATACAGTGCTGACCCTCGGAACACATCGCGAATGCGATTGCGACCGAGTCGAAGAGGATATAATCAGGACGCTTAGAGAGAGAGTTCCGTGGCAAATCGAGTCGATACCGTCAATAGCGACTGCATTGATGGACGGTTACGATCGTCAACAATATACGTGGATGTTAATTTGGGGGAACGATATTGTCGGAAAACAAAGATTAGCCGTCGGAATAGCGAAGGCGGTATTCGGTTCTTCGGATTTTTTATTCTGTTTGGACCCAAAGAATAATTGCCCGTTTACGGTGTCCGAGAACTCGGCCGCGCTCGAAATGGCGTTGCGGAGCGTCGGAAAGCTCATTGTGTTGGTCGAAAATGTCGATTCGGCTGATCCCGGGTTTCTTAGGTTTCTCGCCGATATTTTGGAGGGGCGAAAGTGTCGTACGTGGACACGTGTTATATTTATATTGACAATATACGGCGACGGCGATTATGACACGTGGTGTAATATGTTTGGGGATGACGATGTAGTATCGACTGTCATTTCGATGAAACTCATTGTTTGTAAATCGAAATATTCAAATCCGAACCGTAAAAGAAAGATGAATCGAGATGACGCGGCAATTAGGCCGTGGAAGTGTCCGAGGAGGTGCGACAAAATCGATGAAGTCGAGGTTGAGAAAAGTGTTGGCCTCGTCCTCGCCCTCAACCTCAATGTAATAGCTGACGATGACAACATAGGCGACAACGAAAACTATAGTCCGATATCGAGCGATGTGACGTGCGAGCCGACGGTAACGGGACAACATAGTTCTCCGTTAGCGTTCCTTAAAACCATCGAAACTCAGATCTTTTTCGACAGGTTGGACGATGATCGCAAGCGGGCAAAGCGAGCGTTGCGATCGAAATTCGAATGTGCTTGCGGCGACCAGGCGGTTTTCTTGGATGTCGAGGAGGCGGTGGTGGACGAGGTTTTCCGGTGGTCGGAAATGTGTGGCGGCGGTGGCGGCGTGGTGGAGGAATGGATAGAGGAGGTCTTGGGGAGGAGCTTAGGTATGGTTAGTGAGGGAGGGAATGGTAGGAATGTTGTTAGGGTGTGTTTGGGAGGGAAGGGACGACAAATTGGAATTGGATATAAGGGAAGTTGTCTTTTAAAAGGATTTCTGTTTTGTTGGCGGACTGAAATCTCACAAACAAACAGGGCACAATCTCTCTGTTCTGTATTTAAGGGAATTGGATATAAGGGAAGTTGTCTTCCGTAGTCTCATTTACCTTTTGCGTTATTGTATTTAACATTAAAAATATCTTTATATTTGTATAACTTTTTTTTTGCACAAATGTCATTATAATAATATTATAAGAAATTAATATAAATATTTTTGTCATTTTTCTTTAATTTGTACAATATTTTTATATAAGAATTAATATTCAAATATCAAAATGCAAAAATAAATGAGATCCTTAGAGCTGGATGAAGATAACACAGTATTACATTATTTCTCAAAAAATATTATTCAATATAAAATATTATTTTTATATTACTTACAATATTTATACTTTATATAAGAAAATACTTCAAACTAAAATACTAAACAAACACAAACTCTAAAAGTAAAAACACAACCATTTTTAGTTCTTTCATTTTATAGTTTTTTTTTTAACAACAATATTTTTTTAATGCGAAGCTTTTAATGAAAACTATATATTAATTATGATATGTTTTAAAATATGAAAATGTAAATTACTATAATGTAGATAACACAAAAAAAATAATTTAAAACATGTACGTCTTTCGTTATACATCAGGTGTCCATTTTTTTTTTTTCGAATGTTTCATATGATTTATTTCAATTTTTTTAAAATATAATTATACATTTTAATCACATTTTAAAATTTATAATTTATAATTTTTTTATACAATAATTATTTTTAGTAATACACTTCTTAATTATATACTAATTATATTTTATTTAAATTATCATATCTACGTTAATATGGACACTTTCAGTGGGGCGAGGAAATACTCCATCCGTTCGCCTCTAAGGATTACATTCACATTTTGCGTCATTGTACTCAATATTAAAAATATTATTATATTTATATAATTTTTTTTATACAAATGTCATTACATTTAGGGATGTCAACGGGGCGGGTTCGGGACGAATTTTGCAGGCCCCGGGATCCGCCCCACTAAAAAATATTATGACCCAAGACCCGCCCCATCCCACTTCAACCCGGCCCCAGGACCCGTCCTGTTCGGGTTCAGGGCCAACCCGACAAATCCGTTTTTTTTTAAAGAATAAAATATATATTTTTAAAAAAAAATAATTTAATAAAAAAAAAATGTGTCAAAGTACTAAAAGATTATAGTTCTAAAAATAAGAACAATCAAATATTGACGATAGTTCGTAGTGATGACGTTCAACAGTAGTCGCAAATATAAAGAAAATTATAGGATAAACAAATGCGAACATAAATTTGATTTATAATCAAAGTTGTATTTTATATTTAAACTTTTTCAAATAAAAAAATAATATAATTTATATTGTATATAAATATAAATAAATTATAATAATTATTAAAATATCTGGGTTCGGGTCCGGGTCCGGGTCCGGGTCCGGGGTGAGGCGGGTTTATAGTAAAATCCGTAACCCGTCCCCAACCCGGCCGAGTCTAAAACTCAAAATCTACAACCCGGCCCGAACCAATTTTTTTAGACCTGAACCCGCTCCATTAAGACCGGGTCCGGGGCTAACCCGCCCCATTTGACATCCCTAATTACATTAGTATTATAAGATACTAATATAAGTATTTTTATTTTTTTCTCTTGATTTGTATTATAATTTGATATTATAAATAATATTCAAATATAAACACGCAAAAAGTAAATATAGCCTTTAGAATCGGACCAAGGTAATAGTATAATTTAATTGTCCTTAATTATTGGAGCTAGGATTGGTAAATGTCAGTTAATTGTGCCTCCAAATTGCTGACATTTTAATTTTAGTAGCATCCTGTACGTAGGAATGGAAATAGGCCAGACCTAGTCCGATCTATTTACTAAAAGTGTCATGTCAAAAAATTTTTAAAGCTTTTTTATTTAAATAGAACATGCTTAGGCTTAAAAAAATATTTTTAATTAACAGACCGATCTATTTATATTATTATTTTTTTATAAAAATATTTTTTATTATTATATATTAAAAATAATTTTCTATCTAATAATAATATTTATTAAATAATTTTAATTATAAATTTATTATAAAAAATAGAATTCTTTAACTTTTATATATATTAAATAATTGTACGTACTTTATTTATTTTTTTATTTCTAACTAAATTTGAAAATAAATAAATAAATAAAAATATTATGTAGTCTTTTAAATAGGTTTGTAGGTCGAATTAAACTTTTAAAAAAATCATGCTCAGGCTTTTAAAAAGAAATTTCAGGCTTACGGGCCAGATATTTTAAAAACATGTCAAACCTACTTAATTAAAGTCTGGCTTGGTCTGGCCTATTTCCACTTGAGGCTCCTACCCAAAATATATTTGTTTATAATTCAACACTATTTTTTTTTCCTATATTCTTTTTATTACAGACTTTGATTTTTTTTTTAAAAAATAGTCATTACATTCATTTTAAAAAAATATATTTATTTTTGGTATAAAGTTTAAAAAGCTAATTATTTTAATTATAATAGATAGTTAAAACAGTGTAAAAATGATTTTATCTTTAATTTTTGGTGTAAATTTATTGATTTTGATTTGAAATAGTGAAAAAACAAACATGTAATAATATGATGATAAAATATAAATATTTATAGGAAAAAAAAATAGGGTTTAGAGTTACTTACAATCCAAAATAAATATATATTTTTTATTAGTGGATAAATTGAGTATTTACTTATCACACTTAAATCACATTAAGTTATTATTTCACTTAAAAATTACAAAAGATGTGTTTATTTAATATTTTAGTTTGAAGTATTTATTTTATACTATGAGATATGTGAATAGTATCATTAATATTAAAAATAATATTTTGTATTGAATAATAATTTTATGCGAAAGAATATAATATATTATTACTTTCGTTTTAAAAGAAGATTACCATTGACTTTATATGCGTAGATATTTGAATATTAAATTTTATATTAATATATAATGCAAATTATTATAAAAAATAAAAATATCTTTATTAATCTTTATATTTATGAAATAAATTATATAAATATAAAATTATTTTAATGTTAAATATGCAAAAAATAATAATAAAAAAATAGTACTCTTCTTATGAGACATGTAATTATATTGAGAATTATGTTAGTTTAAAAAAAATGTTTGAATGAACAAAAACCAAAAACTTATATCGACAAAATATAAATAAAAAACATAATTAATTTACAATTTTGAGGCTATAGTTATTATTTTCTCTGTTTCTATAAATATAATTTTTTTAATATAAATATCGATTATCGAATACTTATTTTGTATTTAATTAACTATACCATTAAATTTTTTTTTTCTATTTAAAATGTTAATAAAAAAAATAATTCAAAATATCAACAATAAGTTAAGCTCTATTTAGAGTTATATTTTCTTATTTTTTATTTTTTAAGAATGAAAATAATAAAACTTAAATTGAATATTTGATGTACTATAAAATAATTATATTTACCAAGAATTCAAAAAAATATAAAAGTAACCATGTAGTTTAGTATTCAAAGGCTACTACAATTAATTGTTACAACCAATACCAGAACAAATCAAACTAAATTTCAATATAGCTTACGGTGTGTTTGTTTACGATGTTTTGTTTTTAAAATAGTAAAATTTTGAATTCAAATAATTATTTGGTTCGATATAATAATAATAATCATAATAATAATAATAAATAAATAAATAAGTAAAAACAATAAAAATAACACAGCATAAAAGTGTCTCATATTTCCTGTGTCCGTCAGTCATTGCCATAAAATGTGACGACAGTAAGTTCAAAATTAAAGATGTGTTTACGTTACCATATTTAAATTTATATCTAATCTATTCATAATAAATAGTTTTATTTATTTAAAATTTTATTATTCATATTTTAATAAATATTAATTAATTTTTCGCTATTTTTACTTATTTATTTTATCAATTTTTAATAAAACTTTTTATAATACTCAGGGTATGTTTGTTTTGTGTTTCTTTTTTTTTTTTTTTTTTTGTATTTTTGTTTGAGGGTGTGTTTTGTGTTCTATTCTTAAAATATAATTTTTTTCACCATCCGCCTCACTTTCTCCCTCTACCACGTCAACTTGATGACATTCTATTTTATTTTATACCTACAACAAAGATACTTATTCTAATTTTTAATTAATTTTTATTTTCACACTCCCTCCGTCATGCGAAATTAGTCGCGTTTCTTTTTTGCGCGGAGTTTAAGAAAAAATGGTTTATATAGTTAAGTAGTGTGATTAGTTAATATAATATATAATAAGATGTTATTTTAACTATTTTTATTTGATGAAATATTGAAATAAAAGTTGAAATATTTTTATTATTTTATATAGCGCATTTTCATCTTTTTCACTACAACTCATTATAATACTAATATTTAAAAATCTATATGCAAAAAGTAAACGGCGACTTTGCACTGGGAAGGAGGGAGTATATTCTTTAAAAAAAATATATATCATATTTAATATTTTATATTTAAAATTTATTTTATTTAAAACACTCTCACTTAAATATCCTTATATATTTATTTATATGGCAAAGGACCCAAACTCGCCCAATGAATAATTCTCTATTGTTAACCATAGCCTTCAAAAACCATAAAGTTCAAAGCCATTAAACTTTTAATAGATACGTTTGATTGTGGTTTCATAACATTAATTTATTTACAAAATATTTAAAATTAATAAAAATAAAAAAAAATTATAATTTTTTTATAATTTTCAATAGTTAATTATAAAAGTTCAAAATATTGGGTGTGTTTGTTCGAAGGATTTGCAAAGATTTATACTCCCTCCGTCTCAACCACCCTGCAATATTTTTTTTTGATATATCTCAAACACTCTGCAATATTTTCAAAATAAGAAATAATTAATTATACTTAATCTCTACACTACACTTTATCCCCTCACATCATCCAAATAAAAAAAATAAAATATATATTTCTCTCTCCATCCCATCATCTAATTTCTAAATTATCATACTTAATACTACCCACCTAAAAACCCGTGCCAAAAGTAGAAAATAGGGACAAATTATG